GGTTTAGGGTTTAGGGTCTAAACACAACCCATACATATCATGTTGACAAAAAATTAAATCCTCTGTTCACCTCTCAGGCATCTTCCTTAAACTATTATGCAGGGCTTAATATTCTGATTTGAGACTTGGGAACGGGCCCGAAACCGTCCTTCAACACGCGAATATGATCCAAAATCGAACCTTAAAGCCCAAACCCTAAACCCGTAAACCATAAACCGTAAAGCAGCGTGACAAAGCGAACCCTCCCCTAAACCCGAAACTCCAAAACCCTAAACCCCAAACCCCTGACCCTAAACCCCAAAAACCTAAATCTAAACCCCAAGCCCTAAACCCTAAACCGGGCTCGAGGTACAATGGACAATCCACACCCTGGCGCCCGACTTCCCGACACAAACAAGGCTCAGGGATTTTGGGTTTGGTTTTTCGGGCTCAAGGTTTAGGGTTGAGTTTCTCTGGGTTTGGGATTTAGTCGTTTAGGGTTTAGGGTGAAGGGGTTTGGGGCTGAGGGTTTAGTAATGTAGGGTTTTAGGTGACAGAGTTTTGAAAACCCCAGCTCCCCCTCATCCTCCCCTCCGAACAAAGTCAACGGGAATTTGTTGCGGACCTCAGCAGCTAAATCAATTAATTCAAGGGTAACTTGGCTCCCTCTGGGCCCCTAGACGCCAAGCACTGAAACCCTTGTAACACCACTCTGGAACCATACCCTACGAATTCCAAAGCACCCAATAATCAGGTATACTTTGGTTGCAGATAGTATTTGTCTAGGTTAACATGTGGGAGAGTATGTGATTATTAGGTACTTGGACCCTTAAGGATAAAGCCCCCCACCCTAAACCCTAAACCCCAAAACCTCTTAACCCCAAAACCTCTAAACCCCTAAGCCCTAAACTAAACCCTAAACCCTAAACCCTCAACCCTAAACCCTGAATCCTAAACCCAAAACCCAAAACCCTAACCGACTCTGGCCCCATGCAGCCTTCACAGAAGTTGAAGCTCGAAATCCGACCCTGTCTCTCCCTGGCCTGCAGTCGGACAAAGTCCTTCACGCTTCGGGTTTTGGGGTTTAGGGTTTAGGGGTTGGGGGTTGGGGTTTACGGTTTAGGGGTTCGTTTAAGGCCTCCGTTAACGGATCTATAAGGGTGTAGGGTGTAGGGCTCAGGGTTCAAGGTCTGAGGTTTATGGTTTGTGGGCAGGGTGTACGATTTTGTAAGGTGTGTACTGGGCCCGAGGATGATTCTACTGGATTTTTTGATATGACCCTAAACCCTAAACCCTAGACCCTGTCCGGGGATAAGCATCCGCAGAATCGAAGCCTGGGCTGTCTTTTCACGGAGCACAGACGGCAGCCCTATGCCAAAAACAAACCGTAAACCCTAAACCATAATCCCAGAACCGACTTACAATTATGTGGGGATCCTTTCAGGGTTCATCAAAGTTCTGTGAGGGTTCTATACGGGTGCTGGGTTAAAGAACTTAGTTTGCGTTATCAAGATAGGGATCTATGGTAAGTATAGGGGTCTCCTTGCTATGGTAGGTTACAATTAAACGCCCTAACAAGAGCCCAGGAAGCCGCCCGTGAACCCTTACACTTGGTCCGAACCCGAACGTCCCTCAAGCCTGACAAACCCGAAACGGTGGGTGAGGGATCAAAAAAAAACTATTTAAGGGATCAAAAAAAAACTATTTTCCGAGGATCAAAAAAAACTATTCACAGATCAAAAAGAAACTATTTTGCTCCTGGCATGGGGCACGGCAGTGCAGGGCAGGGCAGGGCAGCAGGGCAGGGCAGGGCAGGGCAGGGCAGGGCAGGGCAGGGACAGGGCAGGGTAGGGCAGGGCAGGGCAGGGCAGGGCAGCGCAGGGCAGGGAGGGGAGGGGAAAACAGGGCAGGGCAGGGCAGGGCAGGGCGGGGCAGGGCAGGGCAGGGCAGGGGCAGGGCAGGGCAGGGGCAGGGGCAGGGGGCAGGGCGCAGGGCAGGGCGGGGGCC